TAGAGCCTGCGTTTCACCGGCCAAGCTTCTGACTTTGATTAAAATAAGACTAAGCATTTTTCTTCTTGTTGTTCTGACCACGGCGTGCGTGCGCTTATGAGGGAGAACGACGTCGACGACAGTGTTGCCTTTGGACAGTAATAAGAGTGTGAGGGAGTAGAACACGGGCAGGGCCACATGCGATGGGTGCGGGGTCTGACAGCCGTGGGTTTAGTCGATAAGTAGGAAGAGTGATATTGGAGTGTTTAGCGGACCTACATGTGTAGCAGTACCCGTTTATATGGGTTTTCGCTAGTGCTAGACTCAGCCTTGGGCCTAGCACTATTGGTTATGGCATTGTACTTTCAAAGCGAAGGGCGGGGGACCAGGGCAACGGCCACAGCAGCAGCACTGACTGTGCGCAACTGTGCGCGTGGAACCCATTCCACTTCGGTCTCAAAACTCACCAAGATCTGCACTGGGACCCGCTTCGCCTGGGCTCACGTAGCGGGCTTCACAGCAGGCCCTGCGCTCTCCTACTCATGATGGCGTCGAAGTTGCCACGACGACCGAGCATAGGTTGCACGCTTCAACGCCATCCTGTTCAAGGATATCTGATTCAAAAGGTGGGTTGTTACACACTCCGAATAGTAGCGGATTTCGACTTCCGTGACCACCGTCCTCCTGCCTGTCTGGGTTAGTGCGCAGCTTGGCACCGACCGGTGTTAGAGGGCGTGGTGTCCCGGCTCTCCGCTATGTACCAGGCTTCCGCTCACTTACCTCCACTGCATACCAGGCGTCTGCTCACATACTTTTGTTGTGAATCGTCCGAGGAACTCCACGACATTCCGATCTTGCTGTAGGGCTGGGCCAGTCGAAGCACGCACTGGCAAAAGGGTGGGTGCGCCACTGGGTTTTCCATTGGTCCACACGGGTTCGGGCGCCCTGTTGTACAACAGCTTGAGAGCACTACCGGCCTGTGGCCGTGGTAGCCGTCGCGCTCGCCTAGGGACGCGATGGAAGAGAGACCAGCGTGGTCTTTTCTACTTCGTGCCAAGTGCCCTCTAGTTGGGTTATGGGATGAGTACAAAGGTCGGTCACGATCAGAGTAAGAAGAAACAAAAGAAAAAGAAAAAGAAAGGGAAAATGGACAACGAGGGAAGTCGTATGTGTACCCCGAATTAGTTAGTTGTTTTCGTCTGGGATGAGCTAGTGATCCTAAGTTGCAGTGGCGTTGTGTCTTCTTCCTTTCCTCCTTTTTTTTTTTTTTACCGTTATTAATTTTATTATTATTAGCTGCCTTTTGAATTTCCTTCCCCTTTTGTTGTTCGTAGAGGGACCAACGATTCACTTATGAGTTGTGATCGCAAACGTGCGGCTTAGGTTGGCTGACTTTTCACATTTCAGTTCGCCGTAGACGTGGCCTGCAAAGCGTTGAGTAGAGGGGCTTCAAAAGGGAGCAGCCGCGACCACTTTGGTAGGAGGCTTATCACCTCCCGCGGACGGTCATAAGTCCCCGCCTTCCCATCGGACGCGGGTACCCATCAAAAACAGTCGGGTGGCTCTTTAAAAGAGAAGAAACTTCAGTCGGTATCCCATTATGGGACCGTTGTGGGGATTGATGAGTTTTTTTAATGAAAAAAAAGAGCTCTTAGGAACCTTAAATAGTAAAAAAGCTGAGTGAGAAAAAATGGTGGGTTACCACGCGTCCTACCAGTCACTCTGAGGGGGCTAGCTGGCAGGATGGGGGTATGGTATAGCAGCAGCTGAGATGGTGGCTCCACTGCAGTCAGTCTTGCCGGAGTGAGGTAAAGTGGATAGATGGGGGTTCTTCTGAGTCGGTTCTGAAATCACATGTCTGAAGCCAAAGCCGGTATCTCAATTTCCAAATACCATTCTTAGGCCATTCTTAGGCCAATTGGATTTTTCTAGTAGGTCTCTAGTGATGAATCTTCTGAATGCATTCATTATGGGACACTGGGCCCGGTTCCCAGTTCGTGCCAACTTGTGAGGTAACGGTTGTATCTATGGGACGCTGGACCCGGTTTCCAGCAGGTGTTGCTCCCCACCAATAGATGGAGTTTTTTTTTTTTTTTTTTTTTTTTTTAAGAAAGCGTCAACACCCTAAAAAAAAATAAAAAATGGGACCGTTGTGCACTGAACCCGCGGTCTTTTTAGGTGGGGATGAAGAAACTGTATGCAATGATTACTTAAAACGACCACTATTTTTTTTTACTATTATAAGATTAAATTATTATTCCAATGCGGGTCGATTCAACTTCCTTTTCCTTTACCGGTCGGAAAGTGAACCTAAGGAGCGCAGCGGAAGGCTAAAATACCAATGATCAGACCAATCAATGTCGCAATGCAGACCAAACATACATCATCATCATCACAAGGTGTGAAAGGGCCTGAAGCTTTACATAGGAAAAATGTGCCAGACTCTGACCATACACAGATGAAGAGGAGGGGGATCAGACGAAGAAGAGGGGGAGATGAAAATGTCGTCACACAAATGTCGTTGATATCGATCACAAATTGTCCCCCACCAATGTCTCTGTCCCAAAGTCGAGTTTGTATCCAAATGTTTTTAACATCCCAAAGTCACAAATCTCTCTGTCTCTCTCTCGTAGTCTGCCAGATAGCAAGAAGTCAGGTGGTGAGAGGGTGAGGGAGAGATGGTGGACTTAGAGGAGGAAGAAGAACTCTCTCTCTCTCTCTCTTGTGCCAAGTACTAACCTGTGAAGGTGGCGCCTTGTTGCAGGTACATTGAAGACGAAGCTGGAGCTATGGCGCCACAGGTAAGTCTCCTTGGCCCCCGCCACCGCTCTCTCTCTCTCAGTGCTAAGCTCCTCACAGCGCCTAGCGCTGAAGACTACTCCTAGCGCTAGCTACTACTACTGCAGCGCTCCTCCAGAGTGTTGCGGCCGAATCCTGAAGACTGCCTCCTGAGCTGCCCGTGAACTGCCTGTAGCCTGCAGGGCAGACCAGTAATATATAGTGCTGGTCCGGCTGGGAGGTTGCTCTTGCCAATGCCGAATCGTGCCATACGCTGGCGCTGAAGTTCAAAAAAAGGTTGTCTTGAAACGGGCTGAAAAGTGGCTTGCGCTCATCCTTGGTCTGGCGCCTAAGTTTCACGAAAGGTTGACTTTATGAGGGCCTGAAAATGACCCTCGTTTTTAGGCTTTTAGGCTGAAATGACACAGAGCCTGGAGGGCCCTTACTTTTGCCTGGTCGGGCCTTGCAGGGCCCATGTGGTGCGTAGTATGCCACACCCCCCCCTCCTTGAAAGACCGAGCTTACCTGCGAGGGGGAAGCTGCCTGTTGGAGGGAGGGACCAAAGTCTGGGTGGGAGGGGCTGGTCGTTAAGCTTCCTTAGCTAATCTTTGTCGTTCGTAGTGACCATAGATCAGCGGTGCGGATGCTTGCAAATCTGTTCATGAAATCCGTCGAGTGTCGTCAGGATCGCATGCTTTGAAGGTAACTTTGTATTGTCGAGGCTTGTGGTCGTACTTGCAATCAGTGATGACGCGGTCGACTTCCTGATGACCATCCATAGACGGAGGGTCTTGCGATCGTCGGCCTGGGAAATCGTCGATCTTAGCCGGTGTATATGTCGCCAGCTTCGAGGTGTGAAAGACTGGATGGACCGTCAGATGAGGAGGGATGTTGATCACAAATGAGGGGCCATCGGGCTCATTGCCCGCGGCTGATGTTACGGTTCAAGGTCCAAAGAACTTGGGAAGGAGCTTGCGTGAGATGTCTTGTTCGAACGCAAACTCTTCCGCGGAGACCCAAATTAGGTCGTAGGCGCGGATAGGACATGGTACGAGATGCCGATTGGCTTGCTGCTGCATGCGGACTTGAGCCTTTTGCATGTTTATGCGGGCTTTAGCCAGGAAGTCCCGGTTCTTTCGAACGGAGGTGGGAGAGCAAGGGGCGTCAATGTCTCGATTCCGTGGGAAGAGGATCAACGAAGATACGGCCTTTCCGACCACCGTGATGCAATTCGAAGGGAGTCACGCCGATTGTCGGATGCAACGAAGTGTTGTTGGTGAACTTGATGTCAGGGAGGCGGTCAACCCAATCCTTCTGGTCCGGACGGATGAGTGTACGAAACATCAGTTGAGCGGTTTGATGTGCCCGCTCCGTTTGCTCGTCCGTTTGTGGATGCTGAGCCGAACTCGATTTCATTTCGGTGTCGGACTCCTGCATGAGACAAATCCAAAATGCCGACATGAATCGAGTGTCGTGGTCGCTAACGATGTCTTCTAGTACGCCGTGGCTGCAAATCCAGCCGGTGTGCAAGAGGCGCGCAAGTTCGGGAGCCGTGGCGTAGTACTTGCAATGGAGAAATCGTGCGTATTTACTCAATCGGTCAACGATCGTGAGGATGCCATCGTACCCGAGGCGGTCACGGGGAAACGGGCCGGTGACGTCCATCGCAATGGAGAGGCCGGGTTCCCGCGGGATAGGCAACGGGTGCAACTCGCCGTAGGGATTGCGGTTGCGGGGTTTGCTTCGTCAACAAACCTCGCAAGAGTCACAATACCGAGTGACATCGGTGATGAGGTCGGGCCACTGGAATCATTGCCAAAGTCGTGCGATAGTCCGATTGACTCCAAAATGGCCGATGAGTCGCGGGTCGTGGTACTCGCCGAGAAGGCGAGCCCGAAGATGACGGTCTCGTGGGACGCAAAGTAAGTCCTTGCCTCGCGAGTGGAGAAGCAAGTACCCGTCGACGATGCGATAATTGCTGGCCGGTGGGTGATCCGAAGATAGCTGCACATACAGCGTGGCGAAATTCAGATTGGACCGGTAGCCCCAAATGAAATGTCGCTGAAGTTCCTAGTCGAATACGAAGGCATGATGTGTCATCGTGCAAAGATTGGGTCTTCGCGAGAGTGCATCTGCTGCGTGATTGGAGAGGCCGGCAAGATATTTCGGTGTGAAGTCAAATTGGTCGATGAAGTGTATCCATCGTCCGATAGTGATGCTCACTGTATATTGCGTCTTGTAGTAGGTCAACGACTCGTTATCCGTGACCCGTGTGAACCTACGACGCCCAAGGAGGAAGTGCCGCCATCGCTTGAGAGCCATCACGAACGTGAGCAGCTCTTCCTTGCATCATCAAGTGAGTTGATGGGAGGCACCTTGTGGCTGAAGTACTCCACGGGATGCCAGTCGTCGCTGTCTTGTTGTTCCAAGACTGCCCCAATACCATAGCCGTGGGCGTCGGTTGTCACTCTCATTAGCAAGGTGGGGTCGTAGATGCTAAGGACGAGTGCCATGAGCATGGCCGTCTTGAGTGCTTGGAATGACCGGCGTGCTTCGTCGTCGAATACGAATGGCACCTTTGGTGATTGTAATCTCGTCAATGGTGCAGCAATCCTTGAGTACCCGGTAATGAAGCGTTGGTAGTAGCCTGCCAACCCCATGAATGAGCGAACTTCCGTGGTGTTGGTGGACTCGGGCCATACAAGGATGGCCTCGATCTTGTCCGCGAGCGGACGGATGCCTTGCGGTGTCATATAATGGCCGAAGTATTTGAGCTCCTGCCGCGCAAATTCACATTTGTCGCGGTTGGCTTTGTACTTGGCTTGTCGTAGCCGCTCCAAAACGGTGTGCAGGTGCTCCACATGCTCGTCTAAACTCCGGCTGTACACCAAGATATCGTCAAGGTAGATGAATACACATTTATCCAGCATATGTCGAAACTCTGTTGTCATAGCCGCTTGGAACCTGGTTGGGGCATTCGTAAGGCCAAAAGGCATAACCAGTGATTCGAAATGCCCGTATCGTGTCTTAAACGCGGTCTTGTAGCGGTCCTCCTGTCGGATCTCGAGTCGGTGATATCCCGATTTGAGGTCAAGCTTGGAGAAGAACTTAGCGCCGCCCAGCCGTTCAAGAAGGTCGTCGATGCGTGGAAGAGGGCCAACGTTCTTGATGGTTTGCGCGTTGAGCTTGCAATAATCGATGCACAACTGCACATCCGTGTTCTTCTTCCAGACGAAGAGAACGGGGGCACCGTATGGCGAAGAGCTAGGCCGAATCCAACCTTTCTCAATAAGGTCGTCGAGTTGTGCGCGTGGCACACTTAACTCTTCCTCGCTCATGCGGTAGATGCAACCACGCGGAGGTATGGCCCCGACCTTGACGATGATCTCGTGGTGGATTGACCGATCCGGTATGACTCCGTGCGGGGCTTCGAAAACGTTGACATAGGTGTCGAGAAGCTCAGTGATGCGTGGGTTCGTCGATGCATCAGTCGATGGGATGTCCTGGGGACGGAGGACGTGGAGAAAACGCCCACCCATCTCCCCGACATCATTCCGGGTGATGGAAGCTCGAATGCTCGCGGCGGACACCATGTGATAACTGATCGAAGGGTGAGGTGAAGGCACCATGCACGGGATTAGTACTCCGTTCCGATCACGAATGTGTGCGGCGGTAGAAGTTCACCGGGTGATCCTCACTTCGCAGCCATGACATGCCCAAAATCATGTAGAACTTGGTGTCCAGAATGTCGAAGGACACGACCTCACTTGCATGCGGGGCGAAGTACACGGGGACGGAATCAATGCACCGGTCGATTGACTTGTGTGTGTGACCGTCGACCAACATGACTTGCATGGGTTGCAACTTCCTCGGAACGCGTGGCCCGAGGCCAGCGCGTACCATAAAGTCTTGGCTCATATAGTTGTGAGTAGCTCCGCAATTGATCAAAGCGATGCAGGTCGCTTCTCCGATCTGAATGCGTATGTGCATCAATGGCGCGTTGTTGGTGTTGTACCGTTGTGTCTTGAACTCGTGGTCGATCTTCGCAACGTAGTCGTGAAGGTCAACAACTTCTACTCCTGCGTCCACCAACGGAGCTGGTATTGCAGTGTGCAAGTAATCCCGCAATTGTGCCATGAGCATGTTGCAATGCGGTTTCGGCAATCGACCGGTCGGGGGGAAGGGGCATCCATTGGAAGTCCGCGAACGTTAACGGGTCGAGTCTCTCAAGTCTTGACCATGACGTCGAATCCTTGGCGAAATTTGGCGGCGAAGCTGCCGAATCAGTTGTCGATGGTGGTGAAACCGTGCATGCGATGGATTGTTGCACGTGGAGTGGCTGGTCCAACGGCGGGACCAAGCGGACAGCGTAATCCTCGTAAATGAACCGAGGACTCGCGACATCTGCATTCTCCCCAGATATGTAGGAGGCCGCTAGCTAGGCGGCCGAATCTGGCGGAGTGAGAGGTGGAGTCGCCTCACCTCCGGCGCAACTCAGTTTTCCGAGCCGATTCAAGGTCGAACGTCCTCCTTGCCTTAATCTTGGCATTGGGAGGTCTTGTGCTTGGTGTTGTTGCACAAAGAGCAGCAGTCGTATCGGCTGCGGTACTTGTATTCGGCCTCGGTCAAGCTGAACTTGACCCACGGTACTGGCTGTCCATTTCCGGTCGGCGATGCGGTTTTCGCCTTCCCTTTTCCACGGGAGTTGTTGTTGCTTCGTGGCTGGACAGGGGCCACCTGATCTCCCTCATGTGATGCTGGGGTGGCTGTCGGGTCTTCCACAAGGTTGTCCGGTTGGATTGTAGCGACGGGCTGCGGATGCGGACTAAAGTTTCCTTTCTCCACATGGGCTGGCTGCCACATAAATTTCTTGTGTGCAGCAGCCCGGTTGGTCTTGATGATCTCACACGCCTTGTCGATGAGTTCACTGAGTGCGAGGCTCAAGGCGGCACACGCCTAGTTGTAGAACTCCCGACGCAGATGTGAAAATGGCAAGTCGAGATCGGGTGTTGCCACGATCTTTTGCCATTCCGTGAGCCAATCGCGTGTCACTGTGTTGCCTTGGGTCATGGTGAACAGGCGGTTGATGGCAAGCGCCGGGGCGTCGTCGACGATGAACCGCTTCTTCCATTCTCTCGTCAGATCTTCCCCGAAGATCTTCTGGTATAGATGGTTGACTTGGACGCCTCAGATAGTTGTCATGTGGCTGAGCCAGATCTGGCATCCACCCTTGACGTTGAGGAACAACGCTGAGAAAAACAAGTATTTGGGGACCTCGTGAATCCCAAGCTCCATTGTAAAACCGTCCCACCAGACGACTGGGTCCTGATGCTTATAGTCGTTAAATTTCTCAATCCTGAACGCCAGCATCTTGCAATGCTTCGATGTGCTGCGATTGTTGTCGGGGGTCTGGTGCAGCTGCCCGAGTTCGGTCTGCAAGGTGCCGAGCTGCTCGCTGATGGTGGCTGGTGCGGCGAAGGTGCTGATGTCGCCGAGCATTGCGACTACATAATCAACTCGTTCCTCCAATTGGCGGGTAGAGGGTGCACTGCTGGACTCACCAGCATCTGGTCTTGGTGCGGCCTGCTCCAAGTCCTGTACACGAGAATGAAGTGCCCGTGTAGCATCCTCGTGCAAATCCTTGTGGTTCTGCATTGCCCGTCGGAGACTCACTAATTCGTGGTGCTGTTTCGCTAGTTCCTGGTCCTGTTTCGCCAGTTCCTGGTGTTGTTTCTCTAACTCGGACTGTTGGTGGTTACAAGTGTAAACCAACCGTGTCACGAGTTTGGAGAAAAACTCCTTGTGCTGCTCTTCCGGTGTTGCATTGTCATGGCCGGCGGATGGTTCAAAATGCCAGAACTTGAGCTTGTCGATGTTGGTGGCTTCGTGCCGCTGCAACAGCTCTTGGGCTCCTTGTGGAGGGCCTGGGCATCTGCTTCTGCTTCGGCCTGCAGCCGCTGCCTCTGCTTCAGCCTGTAGGCGGGCAGCCTCGGCTTCCGCCTGGCGCTGTACCTCTGCCTCGGTCAGTGTGAGATGAGCTAGAACCCGCTGATGGTACTCGTCAATGGACTTTGTTGGCCTGTTGGCCTGGAAGGCCCAATGATGAACCTGTCATGGTGGCGGGGCCCTGCTGACGTGGCACTTACCAAACCGGGAATGCAGGCAAAGGGTTGGGTGGGAGGGAAAACGCTGGTAGATAACCAACCAAACTATACTTTCCTCTCGGTCCTAATCATCAGACGAAAATAACAAATAAAATAAAGGAAGAGGATCACTCCCTTTTTTTTTTTTTTTTTTTTTTTTTTATATATCTGTCGATCTGCTATGAGTGAGGCATTTCAGAGGAGTACTATGAGCGAGATCTAGGCAAGGTTCCGCAAAGTTTCGGTTTTCAATTTTTATTTTTATTTTATTTTGAAAAACTTTGTGCGTAAGTAGGATAGAGATTGGATTTTCAGAAAAGAATAAATCCGGTTTCCGAGAATATGACAACCTTTGCCTAGCAAACGAAATGCTGATAGACTTCGCAAAATTTCAGCTTTCAGAAACCATTTTTTTGCGAAATAGAATGAAGATTCGATTTAAAAAAAACAATAAATCAAGTTTCCCAGAATATAACAACCTCTGTCGTTATCCTAATATGCCTAGAAAAACGAGATGCTAACATCAGAAATTTTCGGCTATAAATGCTAATATCAAAAATTTTCGGCTATAAATGCTAATATCAAAAATTTTTGGATGCTAATATCAGAGAAACGAAATGCTACTGTCGAAAATTTTCAGATATTTGTTGCGTGAAAAAAAAATGCTAATATCAGAAATTTTCAGATAAAACGAAATGCTAATATCAAAAATTTTAAGATAAAACGAAATGCTAATATCAAAAATTTTCAGATAAAACAAAATGCTAATATCAAAAATTTTCAGGTAAAACGAAATGCTACTATCAGAAAATTTCAGGTATTTGTTGCGAGAAAAAGAAAAAAAATTGCGGAGATTTGACGAAGTCCTACTTGATTTACTAATCAATCAATCAATCAACCAATCATTCAACAATCAGTAGATCAAGCAAGCTGGCTACTTGATTGGGCGGATCCTCTGATTGAGAGATCCGCTCCGATAACAAACTGCTGCATACCGTAACGGTACATACCGGAACAAGAACCGACCTCTTTCACATAGTACAAGATAGCGCAGCGGAAGGCTAAAATACCAATGATCCGAACAATCAATGTCGCAATGCAGACCAAACATACATCATCATCATTCCATGGTGTGAAGGGGCCTAACGCTCACACAGGAAAAATGCGCCAGTCCCCAACCATACATAGACGAAGAAGAGGGGGGTTAGAGGAAGAGGAGGGGAAGATGGGAATGTCATAAACACCAAGTCTTCAGTACAGGTCGCAAATAATCCCTCGCCCAATATCTCAATCCCAATGTCGAGTCTGGATCCAAATGTCGTCAAGTCCCAAAGTCACCAATCTCTCTCTCTCTCTCTCTCTCTCTCTCTCTCTCGTAGTCTGCAGATACTGAGAAGTCAGGTAGCTAGAGGGTGAGGGAGAGATGGTGGACTTAGAAGAGGAAGAAGAAGAACTCTCTTTAATGAAGCCTGCGGATTCTTAGTGGACTGTACATTGGGCCGAGGGCGAAGCTTGGGGCTTGCCTCGGTCGGGTCGCGTCTTAGGTTAGATTCGTAATTTTGTTTGGCTGAGGGATAACCGAGAGACCTATCTGTAAGGAAAATTCATGAGGGACATATCAGCAAATTCGAGAAAATACAGGCCCATACTAACTGGATTTCCTACAGCTACCCTAACTGCGAATAGCAGACCCGGGCTACCCCTAGGACAGCTAGGCCCTATAGGCCTAAGGTGATAGACGGTCCTATAGCCTATAGCCGGGTTGGGAGAGGCCCTAGAGGCCGAATCAGAGTCGGTACCGGTCGGTCAGTCAGTCCTGTTTAGGTCGAGTCTAGGCTAGTTTAGACTATAGATAGGATGGGCACATCGGTTCAGGGCTTCCGGCAGTTGGTACCGAGTACATCGCTGTTGCGCTACGCGTGAACTGGAAGTGGTGACGACTCAGCGTGGAAGGAGACAGGCATAGCCAGACCTTCGGAGCGCCGGCCATAGCTGGGACGTGCGATGTACTCTGCTAGCACGCAGGGGCTGATAGAGGTCTGGGTTATCGAGGTCTGCTGGAGGCGAGAGAGATTGGTGCCCTGTTGGACCCTCCTCCGGAGTGGGGTTCCAGGGTGGTGGCGCTCCAGCCATAGCTGCAGCTTCTTCCTCAGAGGTCATCTTGTCAGGGTTTGGTGGCGCTGCTGCAGACTTCCACCCGGGAATTCTTCCGACACTTCGTCATCATGAGATACTTAAACGCTGGTCTTCTTCTTCATCCTCAAAGTGGCGCTTGGCCTCAGAGACCTGTTTCAGGGTGGCGCTTCCCTCAGGAGGCTGTATCTGGGTGGCGCTTAATGTTTCAGGGGCTCAGGGGTGTTACAGGTGCTAATCAGGGTTGGGGAGTGAAGCGATGCTCATTTCTGAGCAGCGCATTGTAGTTCTGAAGTTATCCTGACAATTCGAGACTCTGAGTTTAATAAACAGTGTGTAACTGGGTTTGAAATATCAACGTTTCATTGTTTTCCTGGATGTTATCTGCTCAACTTTTCTCTATGACTGGTTG